AAGCCTTTAAATATTTTTTCAAAATACATTTAAAATATTTTTTTTTATTATATTCATTATATGTATATTACTCAACATTAAGATAAAAAAAGCGGGATCAAGTTTTATATTTTCTAAGAAGAATTTATTGCAGATAAGTATATGAGCAACACAATTAAGATAACACTCCTTTCAAATTTTTGACAAGACAAAAAGAGTTGCGTGTCTTAACATTTGTGAAGATAAAGAGATAAAGAGTAGTCATGTGAGAGAGGTTGTAGGGATCGTAATTGGACAACTAAGGTCAAAGAGATCGTTGTCAGGTTATTGAGCTTAGAGGAACCGTAATAAGACGATGGTGATCGGAGGGACCGTAGTTGGGTGACAGAGGTTGGAATGATTGTAATCATGCGATTAAAATCGAAGGGACCGTTGTCAAGTGACAAAGGGAGGGGCCATAGTCGGCAAGCGACACAGGTTGGAAAGAATGTAGTCGGCGATTGTTAGAAGTCGAAAGGATTGTAGTCTGACAACTAAGGTTGAAGAGATTGTTGTCAAGCAAAAGGGGTAGGAGGGACCTTAGTCGGCAAACAACCGAGGTTGGAAGTATCGTAGCTAGTAAGAAGACTAAGGTAGAAGGGATTGTTGTTGGGCGACGAAGGTCAAAGGGATAATATTCCATGCATCAATGGTGGTCGAAGCGAATGTAGTCGACGAGCAACTGTGCTAGGAAGAATCGTAGTCTGATGACGGAGGTCGAAGAGACCATAGTCGGGCTACTAAGGTCGATCGAAGGGGCCATTGTGGGATGATGAAGGTTAGAGGGACCATAGATGATAAGAAATGGAGGTCGAAATGTCTGTATTCGGTTGACGACTGGTTTTTGAAGGACAATAGTTGGACGATTGATATAAAAGGAGTGGTTGTTGGACGAAGAAGGTTAAAAGAATCATAGCTTAACTACTAAAGTTGAAATAATCATAGTAAGGTAATTGAGGTTGTAGGATTGTAGTCGAACAACTATGGTCAGAAGAACGATAGTCAAGCAACGGTGGCCAAAAGAATTGTAGTCTGTGGAAAACTGAGGGACTGTTGTGTGAATGTGGTCAAAAGAGGGACCGTAGTCGATAGACATCAAAGGTTGGAAGGATTATAGTCAGACAACTGAGATCAAAGGACCATAATTGGGCGATGATGGTCGTAAAGACCATAACATATGGGTGATAGAGGTCATCAAGAGGATCGTAGTCGAACGACTAAGGCTGAAAGATCGTAGTCAGGTGATGGTGGTCTAAAGAATAGTAGATGACAAGCGACAAAGATTTGAAGGACCGTAGTTGGGCGACCGAGGTTGAAGGACTGTAGTCGAGCCACGGTGGTCTAAAGGACCATAGTCAGCGGGAGATGAAAGGCAGGATGGAGACCCGTCGGTGGCAGCAAGACATATATTTAAAGAGGATGTTTGGATGAAGACCCGCCATATACAGTCAATTGATGGTCCGATGGTGATTATCAGGCGAAGGTCCAGCAGCGGCTACCTAGCTAATGTTTGATGGTGGCAAATACTGGATGGACGTCTAAAAATGATCGCCTGGTGAAAGTCCAATGGCGATAGCAGGGTGGCAAGGGTTTGCCAACAATGATGCTTCAGGATTATGTATTAGATTTCTCTTAAATTTTTAGTTTAATATCACATACTCTAAAGGTCTCCTTCATATGGAGTGTGGGGGTTTATTTATAGATTTTGAGAGTGGCATGTTTCATAAATATGGAGAAGATCCAAGGCAAATTCAGAGTGTTATATTAGACATCTCATATTGATTCCCTTGATCTTTGAGTGTTTGTTCTACATTTTAAGTGGCATAATGATGTTGGAATTGAGAGATATTAGGTTCATTGGATTCTTATCGTCGAGCCGCTTCTGATGTGAGGAGAATCACCAAAGAAGCATGATGAAGACGAAGAAGAGCTAAACAGCTCTAGGACCAAAAACAGTGAAAACTGTTTCAAATTCCAAAAATATTCATTCATATCTATCCTTCATTACAATAACATGCTTATATAAAGGTAATTGAACCTTTTAGAAGGTTTTAGAAAGCATGAACTAAAGCTAACTAAGATATACTATTCCTAAGGCCATCCTAATCCTAAGATGCACCGCATCATGAGGCCATCCTAATCCTAAGATGCACCGCATCAGCTTCATTCGACTAAGGACATGCTATATTTTAATATCATTTGATCACTCAATTAATATTCTGAAGCTTCTAAATTAATATGCTTCAAGCTAATGATTTGGGATGGTTTGATTGGATTAATTTTGATGTCGTCGGGTTTGTTCGTCAAGACGTTTAGTTTGACTATAATTTTGTTGAAATCAAAGTTCTGATGATCCCAAATTTAATTTTGAAAGCTTCCAATTCAAATATGCATAAAGATTCGCGCTCGATCAAGAGGATTTTTTTGTGATGTATTAAAGAGATAATATTGTTGTCTTTTTCGAAGGACAAGTAAAAAAACATGATAAAATTTAATATTATTTTTAAAAAAAGCATGCTCCTAATTTTTAAACTTTTGGTGATGTGGGGAGAATCACCAAAGAAGTATGATGAAGAAGAAGCAGAAGAGCTAAACAGCTCTAGGACCAAAAACAGTGAAAACTGTTTAAAATTCCAAAAATATTCATTCATATCTATTCTTCATTACAATAACATGCTTATATAAAGGTAATTGAACCTTTCAGAAGGTTCTAGAAAGCATGAACTAAAGCTAACTAAGATATACTCTTCCTAAGGCCATCCTAATCCTAAGATGCACCGCATCATTTGGCTTAATTCATCAAAGTGTCATTCAAAAAATGATAAATAGATCCAATTCTTCACTTGAGGGAGGGCTTAGGTCTAAAGCAGAAAAAACTATAAGGCCTTGTTTGATAATCAATATCAATGACCATTATCGATAGCCATTATTGTTTAATAGCCACATACAACATTTAACGACCTACCACCACCTCCCTATTTTATCTTCCGATCATCGATAATAATCACAAATGATCAAACTAGGGTTCATAATTTTATAATTCTATCTTTTTGAAAGAGAAGACCCTTAGTATCAACTCAATTTTAAAACCTGCTCAAATTTGAATAGAACAAACGAAAAATAACTTTTTTTTCTTAATATTATATACACAAAAGCTTCCGCAGTCTTTTTTCGCACAGTTGATTTTTTTAGAAAAATAAAAAGATATGATGAAATATTATACATGCATTCCGAACTAGCCCATATGATAGATCAAAATAATAATCGGTAAAGATAAAGTTTGTAAATCAACGGATGAACGGATGCAACCTGCATGAATAATAATCGGGAGATATGCGCGCAGGCGCAATGTTTGCGTTGGGTGCGGAGAAAGAGCCGCTGTCATCATCTTAATTCATACCGCCGTGGAGAACACGATGGTGTCGGAAGAACCCTTCTCGAAAGATGTTGACAGATACGAATGAACGAACTCTTCAAATTCAACCTCGTAGAAGTCCCCGCCGGCAAGCGGCGGGCTTGGAAGCTCCGGCACTCCTGACGGATCCCCGTCGTCGAAAAACCTCGCAACATCCCTCATCGCCGGCCTCGCTGCCGGGGAGGGATGAGAACACAACAAACCCACTCTGAAAGCCAACTCCACCTCGCTGTCGTTGAACTCCCCGGCAAGACGGTGGTCCACCGCTTCCCGCCACTGTCCCGCCGCCAACTTCTCCCAAACGAAATCCACCAATACCAGCTCTTCTGGCTGCGCCTTGGGCTCTATCGGCCGCCGCCCACATATCACTTCAAGCACCAGCGCCCCAAAGGCGAAGACGTCGGAGGCAGTTGTGGCCTTACCTGTTCGAGTCAGCTCCGGCGCGAGGTAACCAAGCGTTCCAACCACTCGCGTCGTGCTCGGGTTCGCCCCGCGTTCGTAGAGCTTTGCGAGGCCAAAGTCGCCGAGGCGGCCATTGAGCTCGCCATCAAGGAGGACGTTGCTGGCCTTTACGTCACGGTGGAGGACGACGTTCTCCCATTCCTCGTGGAGATAGAGCAGCGCTGCCGCCACGCTGCGAATGACGCGGAAGCGAATCGGCCACGGGAGTAGCGGCGTTGTTGCATCTCCGCTATATAGGTATTTGTCGAGGCTTCCGTTGGGCATATAGTCGTAGACTAAGAGAAGGTTGGCGCGACGTCGACACCAGCCCTGCAACCGGACAAGATTGCGATGACGAAGCCGGCCGATGCTGGCGATCTCCGCCACGAATTCTCGCAACCCTTGTTTGGATTCGTGGGAGACTCGCTTCACTGCGACCTCTTCTTTCGTCACGGGAAGAACTCCTCGAAAAACCTTGCCGAACCCGCCCTGTCCAAGAAGCTCTTTCTCCCTGAAACCCCTGGTGGCATACTTGAGCTCCTTGTAGGAAAAACGATGGGGGCCGGTGACGAGCTCCCAGTCCTCGATGACATCAGCAGTTTTTATTTTGTAGATAATGTAGCTGGCGGTGGCAAGACCCGCAATGAGAAAAACCAGAGCGGAAACAGGGGCGGCGATGAGCAGGGCGTAGTTTTTTTTCTTGGGCTTGGGTAGTGATGGAAAAGATGAAAGATCCAGTGACTTGGCCACCCCGTTCATCTTAAAGTTCCAGCCAAATAGATAATGGGAACTGGCGAGAAGCCCCGTCGAAGCGGAGAAACCAACATACATCTCGTTAAGAAGAATCGGGGACAAATCAACGGCGTAAGTAAGAAGAGGATTAGCGGGTTTTGTTGAAGTGTTAGCGAGCCATACGTCGAGCACCTTGCGTGCGGAATCGTAGTCAATCCAAACTTGAATAGTGTCGCCGCTTTGGAGATCTAGGGGGGAGGCAACGGACTTATTCGAGACAAGGTTGTTGAGGTCCACCCCAACGTGGTTATCGTTGATGTCTCCGAACACAAAGGTTTGCACGGTATCCAATTCGACTGCGAATAGGTGGTTGGAGGCGTTGCCGATGTTTTTTCCGTTGAGTAGACCGAGGTACTCGCTTGGGAAGGCGCCAGGGAGGGAACTGGAGTTGGCGATTGTAAAGGCGAGGCCATGGCCGCCGAGCTTGGGATATGCCGGGACGATGGCGAAGGCGAAAGCGGTAGAGAAGGAGAAGAGGGAACCGTCTGTGGAGTTCTTGAAACGGATGGGGACGTGGTAGAATGCGTGGCCGATGAGACGTCTAGTATCGTGAGTTAGTCGGAGAATGCCGCCGTCATCGACCTCTGCGATGCCGCTGAGGATTACCTTGTCGTTGATGTTGCTGTTGCTGTTGCTGTTGCTGCTGCCGGAGTTGAAGCTGGAGAATTGGAACTCGTCGTGTTGCGAGAGTGCTGAAAGGAGTAGTGAGCTGAAGGATAGGAAGAAGATGCAGAATGTCTTCTCCATTATTAAGAAAAAGTAATAACCTGTTGCTGGAGTTGGTATGGATGGTTAATGTTTTGTAGGAAGATTTACTGCGTGAATAAGTGTAATGTCATGCATAATTGGGAAGGGAAATGGCTATTATTGGCAATGGCTGGTCGTTGGTGTAGCGGAAAGTGTGACCGGTGTAATTATTGTTCCTCCATGATTTGTTAATACTACCTACAGTTCCAACAAGATCTTTTGCGAACGTAACGTAAATTTTGTGGACGAACAGCAGCACATTATTCTTCATGGATTCGGATTTTTCGGATATATTTCCGCTAACTCCTAATAAGAGGATATTTACACACAACTCATCTTGATTTTTTAGTTAAGAATTTGGACTATTAATTAAGAGGTCTAGAATATAAGTTTTTATATGTAATATGTGTGAATCTGACTTAATTTTCCTTGATATATCATCGAAAAATTATCTTGATCGATCATGAATCTCGAGGCAAAAAACAAGTTTGAAATTTCAAAAATTAAATCCGAGATCATTTGGACTCTGATTTCAGCAAACTTATGGTCGAACTGAGTGTCTCGGAAATACGAACCCAACGACACCAAATTCAACTCGATCCGAGCCCAAATGGGTCCAAATCGAAGACTTGAAGCACATTCGGAAGGTTCAATCCATAATTTGGATTACCAAACAGCTTCTAAATATCACATGCTTATAGTTGAATCGAGCGGCTCGATGAGACGAATCCAACGAGCCCAAGATCGTCGAATTCCAATATCATTAAGACCTTAAATGTCTCATGAACGGTCCACAATCAAGGGATTCTATATCGGCCGTCTATACAAACCACTTCACATTTGCCCTTGATCCTCCTCCTATTTACGGATTATGCTATCCTCAAAAAACTATAAATAGCCCCTCATTTCTCTTAAGAGGGGACCCAAGCAAAAAAGCAAGGAGAAGAAGAGAAGAGTATGAGGGAAGAAACTCCTCCTCGACCACCGTCGGGATTCTCCGTCCGGTCTTCAAGTGACATCGGAATTTCGCCCGACTTCCAAGTGACGCCGAAATTCCGCCTGACTTCTGAGTGACGACGGAATTCTGCCCGATATCCAAGTGACTCTGGAGTTTTGCACAAATATCATCTAACGCCGAAGTTCTCCCCGGCCGCCGACTAAATTCGGACTTCTATCCAACGACGGACCTCCGCTCGTCGCCAGATTTCTACCTGACACAGAAATTCTGTCCGTTGTTGGATTTTCGCCGGATAACTATCTAATGTGGGATTTCCATCCATAGCTGGACTTCTACCTGATGTTGTTCTTCTGATCTCCGTCATCACACAACAGTACTTCTGACCTTCGTCGCCAAACGACTAAGGTCGTTCCGACCTCTATCGCCAGCCGACTAAGGTCCTTCTGACTTCGTCGCCCACCGATTACAATTCTTCCGACCTCCGTCGCCCGCCGACTACTGTCCTTTTGACTTACGTCGCCCACCGACTACAGTCCTTCCGACCTTCATCGCCCACCGACTACAGTCCTTTTGACTTACATCGCCCACCGACTATAGTCCTTCCGATTTCCATCGCTCGCCGACTACGATCCTTCTGACTTATGTCGCCCACCGACTACAGTCCTTCCGACCTCCGTCACTTGCTGACTATGGTCCTTCCGACTTACGTCGTCCATCGACTACAATCCTTCAGGCCAAACAAACACATAAGCAGTGATTCTTTGTATTCTCATCATATAATGTACTCTATAAGATGTACATCAAGTTAAGGCTTCCCCCAATGGAGGGCCACATTTGTAATCAACTGCAATACTAGTGGATTCATTTAAACTGGGCTAGGCCCCGTGATTTTTATCTCTTTTTCAGGGGTTCCACATAAAAATATTAGTGTCTCTCATAAATGCTACGCCCACTCTCTTATATGATTGTGTACAGGATTTTCGTACGATGAAAATTTTTATAACATCCAACTAATAATTTAAAATATTTAGTAAATTTTCTTATATAAAATGGGAGAAATTCTTGTATAGTATCATACTTGAATTAGTATCTGGCAAGCAAATTAAGAAACATATTACTTTAAGAGTAGTGAGAATTGTTGGATTCATTTCCTTTTGTAGTTGATGCAAATTTGCTAAACAAGAGAATAAGATGGAGAGTAAGCAGAGTATGTATATGACAAGTATATGAATTTATTTTAATTAACCTAAATGTTCCAAGAAAACTCATAAATAATATTTTTCCAACTTCCTAAACACATTGTTACGGTAGAATGAACGACCATTTGGGTAAATTATTCTGTGCGGACATCAGACGGTCTGAAGACAAGTCAAAATGAATCATGTCATATGGTACAAAGCGGTACTCATCATCAGTACCGACAAAAATATAATGTAGCGTGTTATGATTGATCTCCGGATGATATCCAGTATGTGCATAAAAATAATTTTTCAAACATTAGAGCCCTTTCTAATGGCAAGGGCATGACATTTATCCGCTGGATGTAATGGCAATAAATATCTCCCAGCTAAAGGTTTTAATTTATTTCTTCATCTGTAGAGAATCTCTTAAGAATTTTTTTTTTGGGACATTTAGGCCATTTAAGACAAACTCACACACACAACGCATACACATAGACTCGAACCTTGAACCTCTTAGTTGGAAGCCTAAGCTCTCAACCACTAGGCCAAAGAGAGTTGTGTTAATCTCTTAAGAATCATCAACCAACTTTTGCTCAAACCTTTTGTTCATTATCGGGCTGTCGAGCCTCTGCAAGAAGAGGACGAGAATGACGAGGAAGAAAATGATGGGAGGGTAGCTGAGCAGGTTGAAAAAAGTGCTTTAAGATATATTAGATTGCCTGAATTAGACGATATCTCATATTCCAGCCAGAGCAGGTATGGCGTAACTATCTTCTAGACTTAGTTGAATAGTCAAAATGGGAACCAGAGGAAGAAGATGCTACGGGATGGGATATACAACTTGTTGGATGAATAAAATATTAGGATTAATTCGGCCTGCGAATTCATCCTAATATGTACTTCTACGGTTATCTTCCTATGCTCTTCAAATAACAATTATGTACTTTTAACCAATTATTATTATAATTTTAGTTGACTATTATTTTTTTATTAACTTTTCAAAACTTAAAAAAAAAAAATTTGATGAAAAGCTGTATTTTACAATCAGAGTAATTAAGTTACTCTTTCAGAAATTTCACAACTAATTTAATAAAACTTTGCAGTCATCTCAAATTGATCGTTAGTCTTCTGCCTAGGCTATGTTTTAGGTAGCTTAACCTTTTTTTTTTTCTATAAAAGCTTCTTTCTCAATTATGATTTTAAATATATTTAAAAAAAAAAAATTTAATGAAAATTTTTTAAAACAACGCTAAAAAAATGTCTTCCAGTACACATTATTTTATACTAACTATATGTTCCAAAACAAAGATAATTTTTTATCACTATTTCAAAGTTTTGCTTTTAAAAGTTATTTTTGGAGAAATATTTTTAAAATTAGGGCTAAGATTTCATTTGTGCCAGTTTTATTATTATTTTCCTTTTTAGACATCAATCATTACTTTCAAGAAATTTTTATATTAAGAAATTGCTTTCTATAATAGCTTTTAAACATTAATTTATCTTCACAATTATTTTGCAATCAACTTTATAAAATAATACAGCATCTCAAAAATACCCTAAGAAATTAAAAGATATTTAAATAATAAATAAAGAAAAGCTTAAGTTGGCCCAAATAAAACTCAATTTTTAGTGCACTTTTTGTCCATTCAATGTTTCACAGTTTTTTTTTCAATATTTTGAGATTTTCTTACTATTATTATTTGAAATAAATGAGCTGCTGCTTTCATTTTAACAGAAAAAAAATAATTATTCGTCTCAGAATGAGTTATTCTTCGGTTCAAATGTTGATCGAAGCGTACGTGCTCATAAATTTCTCAGTGAGAGCTAAGCTTACGAGTTCATAAATTTCTCAATGAGAGCTACACGGCATGACAGCCGTAGAAATTATTTCTGTGTGCAATTAAACCTTATTGACTCGTGAAGTCAAGAAGCTTTAAAGTCAACAAAATTTAATTGCAGACCAAATTTCCAAGAGCAAAGTCCACAAGTTTGAATTATTTAGTATATTGGCTATGTATTACTGATCATTCGCTATTATATTAGGTTTCAAACATTAATTGATAGGCATCAAATATTAATTGATATTGAATATGCTTTCACGTAACCTAAACATTTATTATATGTAGATTAAAATATCTCAAAAAAAAAAAATCATGTTATAATTTTTATTATAAGTTTTATAGTAAATATCTTTATTATTTTTAATAAAATTTAAATCAAAATTAAAAAAAATTATGACTATTTTTTTTTCTAAATTTTTATCAATAGCAACTATTGCATATTCAAACCTTTGTAGTAGTATTCAAGCCCAATTTATTTAAACTATGACTATTTGAGCTTAGCTTGCCAGCTAATTAAACTTATCATTAACAAGCAATATTATAATCAAACTTACTATATTATAAACAGACCCTTATCTTCTTGGTGAAATGAACCTTGTCATGAAATTAGATGGAGCTTAGAGATTTAGGTTTCGTTTGGGACGACTTTCTTACTACTTCTTCAAGCAGTTTTTTAGTACAAAATTTAAAAATTTTGCACTGAAAAAATTTAAGAAGCGGTAACAAAGCTGTCCCAAATGAAGCCTTATAGAACTCTAGAGTTCATCTTGACATTCCACACATATACCATCATAATTTGACTGTGGTCTTACGGCTACCATCACTTATTCTAATCTTGTTTGCTTTAATTGAGGGGAAGGTAAAAATGGGCTACAAATTTTAATTTTTTTGTTTATTTTCACTTCCTAATTTTATATGTAAAAACTCTCATGCTTCTATTTATCTTCTTTTTTTACTATATGCAACACATTCGTATAAAATTAAACTATAAAATTATTTTTCTATCACCATCAAATTTTTATCATATAAATTTGATATTTTAAATAATATAGTGCCCCCCAAATAAGATCACTGATCTCTAAAGTCCAGATCTGTTAGTAAAGTCTTTAGC